ATATACACAACAGGTAATTGCAGCATATAAAGGCATTGCAATTCCTCCACCAGCTCCTGCTGGTGGTTATTGAGTCAAGCCCCTCTCGACTCATATTTCTCGCTAGCACCGGCGCAAGCTTTCAACCACCCAACCTAAGCAAATCGGTGCAGACCTGAGAAGCTTTACAATTCCACGATGGCGTTAGAAGGGCCTATGTACCTCATGCCAGATGAGGTAATAGAAATGACCAATGCCGTGGTAGCGTCAGACCTTTCAACCCTGTCAGAAATCCTCGAAACGGTAGTTTCTAAGCGCTTCGACAGCACGATTTCTCGGGACTTGATGGAGCGCCCAAACAGTACGGGGAAGGTTCTGAGCAGCCTATTAGACCAGAACGGCAGCAATGTCTTGCACTTGGCCAGTCAGTGCCCCAAAAGGCAAAGGCGGGCTGAGGCCTCACTGTGGGCGACTCAAAATTGAGCCAGAATCTGACCGTGGTTTTGCAGACATAGTAGAATTCGCTCTGTCCGGCAAACTGTGCGATACGTGGGACAACAAGAGCCAGGTCTGCTACTGGTTGGAAGACGAGGGCCCGGTGAAGATGGAGTTTTTGGAACAGAAAACCAAGGCCGGACTTACACCAACCGATCTCGCGGAAATGCACGAAAACAAGGAAGTGCTCGAGTCGCTGAAGTCATATGGCCGCACCGTCCTGGAGGAGGCTCAGAGTGACAACCCGTCAGTCGGCGCTGAGCAGGACCGCTAGGAAGGAGTCCAAGTGTGGGTAGGGAGATGATAGGGAAATGAGGCTCCGGTGTGGTAGAAGGCGCCTACCAAGAGGGAGGCAGCTGAGGTTGATATAAGGGGGGTCCCATAAACAGCGCTACTACTAAGAAAGCTTCCACATTTCCCGTTTCAAGTGCTAATTTGCCGTGGGCGCCTGGCATACTGCAAGGCAAGGTACCTTATGGTTCGCTGGTAGTCCTCATCTGATGACCTATGTTGAATTGACCATTATTAAATTGACTGTAATTGACTACGATGGAGTGAGACCGCTATGATGGGTAGTGCACCGTGACACACTCTTTTTATTTTAGAAGGCCTTTTCACAACTGCAATATCTCTCTTTGGGCCTCAGCGGGAAGGTCTTTACCGGGGTTGGATGATAGTATAGTGCTAAAAACTTAGCTCACCGTGCGGAAATTCTCTTCGCACATAGTCTGCATGCCACTGTTTTCTTTTCTTTCCACAACACAACACGACGAGGCATCTACCAGCTCACAGTGCGAAGAATTTCTTCGCACATACTGGGCATACCACTGTCTTCCTTTTCTCTTTCCACAACACAACACAATATGGCGAGGCACCCACTAGCGCACCGTGCGAATCATCATCTCGAGCATACCCTCCTCTCAAATACGATGAGAGAAATATTCAAAGAAGGAACCAAAGTTGGAAAGCTAGCCCACCGTGCGAATAATTCTTTCGCACATCCTCCCCTCCAAAACACGATTACACTACACTCGTGACATCTTGTCCGCAGGTAAGGCGATTGCGGTAATTCCAGTCTTTCAATTAAATCCACTGATCTGACCAAGAATTTCGACTAGTCTTGTCATTCCCGTCAAGATGTCTGACGTCGACACCTCGTTTGTCCTCAAGAGGGCAACCTACGACGACTAGTCTCACCGAATGCGACTTCGTCTTCAGCGGGCCAGCCTCGAAAAGTACATCGACTCAAAAGTAGCTGAGCCCGCGGTTGAGCGCACGATGGTGGGCCGTAGAGCCATCGTCGACTGGCACAAGTGGACCGAGGATTGCAACGAGGTTCGAACTATGCTGGCAGAGCCCCCTACACGGCCCGACGTTTGGAAAAGGCTGGTAGATGCCGGCTCTGATTATAAGGCATGCAGTCCGTTCAAGATATGGTCTCTACTCCGCCGTATCGCCGGAGAATACGAATTCGAGGCCTTGACAAAAACCCTCGAAGAGTACCGCCAGATCAAGTGTACCAACTTGGACTCGACCCAGGCCGTCATCACCAGAATGACGCAGCTTCGCGTTAAGCTCGACTCCATGGCACGCGAATGGGGCAACGAGACGATCGACAGGGGCTATGCCTGGGACCTCTTCGTCTCCGTCCGAAAGGCCTATCCGGCCCACTCCGAATCCTGGAACGTGTCCTTAATGAAGAACGAACTCTCGTGGGGCGAATTGATGCGGAAACTTCTGGCTATCGCAAAACGAAGAGGCGGCCCGGGGTGGACCCCCGCCTTGGCGAACTGGCACGGCACCGCAGACTCCAAGAGCCGCTAATGACACCACAAGGCGGCAACGACTCTTCGCTGATGAGGAGGGCTGGGAGGGGGGTCCTCACCTGACAGTACCCTAACCCCAAGAAGGCCTTGCAAGATGGTACTCGTCAACCGCAACTCACCGCGAAATGCTGAGGCACAGTCTGTATAATCTCGAAGTACCTAAGTTACGAAGCTACACCACCCAGCCCACATCACCTCACGGAGCGTTGTAGAAGAGAGCCGGGGCTAGAAACTTATGGTTTCACGGGAAATAGAACAAGAGTAAATAGCTATGCAGCACCATGAACAACCTCGTTTCGGATGTCCAGAACTTTATTTGTGAACCGATGTCGTACAGGTCAGAAAGCCTAAAGGGTGGCTAAAAGATAGAGCCGGCTAAATGAAGATGACATTATCCAACCCTGATTTGTTTGTTAGCGCTGGGACTTCGAAACTCGTCATGGACAGGGGAAAAGCCTTTTGACATTTTAGAAATTCTGTTATTAATGTTAAAAGGCCTTGAATGAAGCCAAGCGGGCCTTTTGAAATGCCAGAATGCCTTTTTTTCATGATAGGAAAGATTTTGTTGAAGCTTCAATATCCCTCTTGGCGGGACTCGGAGTGTTCCGCGCTAACAAACAAACCCGGGTTGGATCGTAGGAACACGAGGGAAATCTCGGCTGCGCCATGGGGCAAAGGGGCACATGCGCTCCTTTGAATGTCAAATAAGACTGACACTTATTAGCAGGGTGGAGTCGCCCGTGTTAAAACTAAGGAAACCACCGCAATGTTTCGATATTGGCTTCATGCTATTCCATTGTTGCGGCTCTCCCCTGCCCGACCAAAGTCACTCTAGCCACACTACTGACTCCGTACTAACTACCGACAACTCTGTGCTAATGCGCTTCCAAAAAACAGCCAGCCTGGCAAGCGCATTGGCAGCTTTGCCGGTGGCATGGGCCTGCAGCCATCCACCACAGGCCGTCATCGATGAGCACCAGATAACCAAAAGAGACGTGCAAGCAGGGGGGAAATGCGGGTCGCAGGGAGGCAACGCTGCGTGTGCCTCTGACTTGTGTTGTTCTGAAGAGGTAGGTAGCCCCCCCCCCCCCCCCCCCCCAAAGCGGTTCCATACTGACAAGTGGTGACATCAAAAAGGGGGCATGTGGCATCGGGGGATACTTTTGCGTGGCCCCCGGGTGCCAGCTGAACTTCGGCCCTGCGTGCGACGGCAATAAGACGCCCCCTGGGAACGACACGTCCGCCTTATCACGGCCGCTCTTCGGGGACGTACCTTATGGCGTCAATGTGGCCAAGTGTAGAGTGCCGGGCAAGGTTGCTATGACGTTCGACGACGGCCCCAACAAGTTTACTAGTGAGCTGCTTGATATTTTGAAGAAGAACAATGCTAAGGTGGGTTGAGCAAAGCAGAGAGTCGCAAATATGATGATGCTTACCAGACTTCTAGGCGACCTTCTTCGTCGTGGGCACGAATAGCGGAAAGGGGCAAATCGAGGACCCGAGTACTGGTTTGCCGGCCATCCTCATGCGCATGCATAAGGAGGGGCACCAGATTGGCAGTCATTCGTGGAGCCATCAAGACTTCAGCCTCATCAGTTCCCAGCAGCGCCGGGATCAGCTTGTCAAGAACGAGATCGCCTTGGTTGATATTCTGGGCTTCTTCCCGACTTACTTTCGACCCCCTTTTACCAGCTGGAACGATGATGTGATTGCCGATCTCAAGAAATTCGGCTACCATAACGTGCGCCTGCCTTTACTCCAAGATCACCCCTCTATTTACTAAAACCACCTTCCCTGACAGGTCAACTTCGATCTTGATACAAGCGATTGGAAAGGTGACTACCAGGTGGCAAGGGACAGATTTTCGTCGGCTGTATCCCAGAAAGACCCAGCAACATGGTCGTTTATCGCCGTGGCCCACGACATCCACGAGCAGACAGTGCGCGGCTACGTGCAGTACATGATCGACCAGGCGAACAAGTATAAATACGATCTTGTAACGGTTGGAGAGTGTCTCGGAGATCCCCCTAATAACTGGTACCGAGATTCGACTACGGGCCGGGAGTTTGGCGGGCCTGCCCCTGAAAAGCCAACGCAGACTTCCACCTCGGTTTCATCGACGAAGTCCGCTCAACCATCCTCAACAGCATCATCGTCTGGAACGCCGAACTCGACGGCGCCGGCCGGGATCTCCACCAAGTCGGTGCTGACAGCGGTCTCGACCACCTCAGCTTCAAGTCCGAAATCGCCAGGAATAGCATCCGCCTCATCGCCCCCAGCCTCTACTTCTAACAAGCCGAAGTCTAGCTTTGCCAGTCTTAGCATGTCTGCCTCAGCTTTTAGTATTTTCTTTGTATGTATCCACTTGTTAGCTAGGCTTTGAGCTGCTCTGATGTGACTTGAAAGGGACTATACTTTTCCAAAACCTCAAGTAAAAGCGCTGCCAACAGTCCAAGAGGTTGCATTCTTGTGGAAGCAGTCCGTCGATAACAGTACTTCTTACTGTAAATAAACGATCTACACTCAAAATCCCGTCATATTGAAGTCTAAAAAAGGGCTCTCCAGCCATAACTTGTCTGTCACTTTACAGTTTATCTTGCTGGTCAAGAAAACCCTTGATTTAATACAGCTTTTCCACTGGCTATGCCTCTACCTTACCTAAGCGGTAACTCGACCGCTCCAGTTCAACAATCTAACCCAGCCCGCTTGGCTCAGTGGTAGAGCGTGTCACTAGTATCATCATTAGGATAATGACAAGGTCATCAGTTCGATTCTGATAGTGGGCAAGTCAAGTTCGTTTTTGCTGTACTTTTTATTGTTCAAATACCTAATCGTTTGGCCTTGGATTTCAGTCGTCTCCTTGGCCAACACGAAGCTATCTATAGACGTTAGGTAACTCGGCTAGCGTTATTCCTCAGTGTGTTTAAGCATCCCAAGGCAGTGCTGGTGATGTCACGGCTATGTCACCCATCAACCCCGCAGCGCTTTTCGAGGAGGTTTGCTCAATCTTTGGATCCCACCCCCCGCACTTTGCAGCTACCGGCCCAGGCGCATTCCCTAGTTTTGGACCGAACCAGATTTGGTGGCTCAAACGGGTCCTGGCGCCAGGAGCAAAAATCTTCCAAAACGGACATTTGTTTATTACGAAATAGCGATTGCCTAATTCACGCCTGCAATGCCCGACACCGAAGGCCTCCACCGCTGCCCCGTATGCTTCAAAGGCTACAAGCGGTGCGAGCACCTCCACCTCCAAGGACAACGCAGCTCGCACAACGCGGAGCGGCCGCACCGCTGCATTCTGTGCAACGCGTCCTTCCAGCGGACAGATGTCCTCAAGCGCCATTCGCAGACCTGCGATGGTGGATCAGCTGCCTCGACCGGCCGTCGTCGTGCCTGCGACCGCTGCGTGCGCCAGAAGAAGGCATGCAACTCGGTCCAGCCGTGTCAGATCTGCGAGAAGCGCGCGGTGCAGTGCCAGTATTCAAACGCAAACCCCTCTGCATCCGCTGCCAGGCTGCAGACCGACACACCGGCCGAGTCTGCCGAGTCTGCCGGGGGTGCTGACGACATCTCCGTCATCAGCGACAGCACGGTCTCTTCCATCGGGCTCACTCGGCCTAGAGATGCCGCTGCTGGCATTGAGCAGGCGTCGTTCAGTGACATCAGCTCCCTGATCCAAAGCACCGTCTCGCACTTTCCTCTGCTCGACGACCAGGCCAGCTCCCATGATTGGTTTGGCATTGTGGCTTTCCCCACAATGGAACACCCTTGATTGAGCCCGAGTCCCAGCAGGACGTCGTGAGTTCCCCCCCCCCCCTCGGAACACCGGGACCACTCATTTAACTTCCTCTACGGCTTCACAAGCCGCACTGGCCTTGTCTCATCATTTGATTGCGCCGCGCTTGAGCACCGACATCAGATTGTGTCTTCGTTCAACCACGCGTATCTCGAACGGCAGCGTCTCGGGCCCTTCATGGTGGGCGCACTGCCCTTCATCCCTCTCGACGAATCCGACTGCACAAGCTATGCGACTACCGGGGTGACTGGCGGCGATCTTGCGTCTTGGTCCTATTGGCTCCACGATCCTACCATGCTCAGACCTCAGGAAATCGTCCTGCTTGTCAAAAGCGTAGTGACGATGAAGCCGAACAACAGCAGCGTCACTCTAACGTGGTCATCTGCACTCGAGCAGGAATGCCTGCAGTTCTTTTTGCCCTACAGAGTTGCCAAGTTTCTCGAGTTATACTGGTCCGTCTGGCATCCCAATGTCAACATTGCCCATCGCCCAACCTTCGACCCGACCACGTCGAAGCCCATGCGAGTGGCGTTCATCCGATACTCCCCAGAATACTGGCTGCTCGGCAGTCTCCTAATTGAGCGCATCTCGGCCACAATCACCACTGCCCAGGAGAAGCCTCGCAACAAGGATAGGTCCTCTGGGGCCTTTTTTGAAGACATAGCCGGACAAATCAAGTCGATTGAGCCCATCTTGGACAAGTACGACCAAACAAGCATGCGCCAGGTCAATGACCTCCATCGCCGACTCCCAGAAGTTCCACGTCGACTAACACTCGTCCCTGGAAGTTGACGGCCACACCCCGTGGCAGACAGACTCGTGACGCGGGGAACGTGGAGGAACCCGTCTCATTTTGAGCACGATCGTCGGGTGCGAGTCAGTCTGTGGGCGGGCCCTAGCAGCTGATGCGAACTGCCGTTGAAAGAAAATGAGAGAGCCGGGCTCATCCCAGGATCCCCGGATTGCTGAGGAATTTGACGTGCGGTTTACTGACGTCTAGAGCGGCCCCTGGACCCCGCCCCGCCTTCCCACATCGGCTCCGCGATCAACACCCCAAGATTCCCTGCAAGCAGCCATCCCGCCTCCGCGTCCGCGGTGTTCATCCCAAATGGATCCCGGCCGCCGCTAACCCTAACGGCCAACGATCAAACCGCCGCTGATACGTTTTTCTTACTTGTATCCCTCCATCCTATCTTCTCTAGCCTCAGACCGAACTATTCACCCATCAGCCCATTTCAATCCGCGCCACCGACTCGTCTGATCTTTTTCTGAGTTCTTCCTTCGCCCCCATGGCCGTTCTTCTTTCCTACCTCCCCTACGTGGTGGAGGTGGCCATCATCATCCGGCTCCTCTTCGCGGGACGGAGGCCGAAAACTACCCGCCAGGCCCGCCCACGCTTCCTATTATTGGCAACCTCCATCAGGTATGTGCAAGATGCTGTTACTTTCCTGGCATAGACTTACCAATTACGTGCAGATGCTGTACGAGATGGCGACGCAGCCCGAGGGCTTCTTACATCATATCCGCCGCTACTCCTACGCCCTGACTACGACCATGGTTTATGGATGGCGCACACCGACCTACAAGGACAAAAAGATGCAGCAACTGTTCAATAGCTTCAGCGACTTTGCCGATATCAACCAGACCGGCACTGCCGCCCTCATCGACTGCTTCCCCTGGATGCGCTGGCTTCCCGAGTTTCTGATCCCGACCCAGCAGAAGGCCCGCGATATGCACAAGGTTGAGAAGGCACTGTATCTTGGCCACTGGCTCAAGGCAAAAGCTGGACACCGCTGCCGGCACCATCACGCGCTGCTTTTGCGAGGAGCTGGTAGCGTCCCAAAGGGCCGAGAGCTTTAGCGACGACCAGGCCGCCTATATCTCAAGCACGCTTCTGGAGGCTGGATCCGACACAGTTTCAAGCACCCCGTACGCATTTGCCCAGGCCATAGTTCTGTACACCGATGCCCAGCGCAGCGCAAGGCCCAAGAGGAGATCGACCGCGTAGTTAGCCCCGACCACATGCCCACCATAGAAGACGAGCCTAACTGCAATAAATCCGGTCGATTGTCAAGGAGTCGCTGCGCTGGATTCCGATCACCGTCATGGGCGCCGTGCCGCACGACGTCACACAGAACGATCACTACAACGGTTGCCTCATCCCCAAGGACGCCGGCGTTGTCAATAACGTGTGGTCGATCCACATGGACCCCTAGCGCCACGCGGACCCCCGCCGGTTCGAGCCTGAGCGCTACGAGGATGATTTCCAGTCACTTGGTGACGCCGCCGCCAACCCCCATGCCTCGAAGCGCGACCAGTTCACCTTTGGCGCCGGCCGCCGCATCTGCCCTGGTATCCACGTCGCTGAGCGTGGTCTGTTCCTGGGCGTCTCCCGTATGCTCTGGGGATTCAATATGACGCCGGCGCAGGACGCCGATGGCAAGGACATTATTCCTGACCAGGAGAAGCTCACGCAGGAGTTCGTGTGCATGCCCGAGGAATTCCCGGCGACCATCACGCCGCGAAGGGAGAAGAAGAGACAGATGATTGTGGACGACTGGAAGGCGGCCGAGGAGTCGCTTGACCTGTCACGAAGCAGTAGAAGCAATCGCCCGTGGGGTTAGCGCTGGGCGGGACCAGGAGCAAGGCTTAGGGATCGTGAGTGTTTGCATAGGCTAGGAGTTGGGGTATATTTTGGGATATTAGCCCAGCTTGGATAGTGATTGAGCTATTAAATTTAAATTATTCAACTTATGTTGCTTGTCACGGTGATGGGGGTGATGGCATGCTTACGGCAATATTGAGCTATCAGGCTTGTGGCAAGGAATGGTGTCATTGCAACTTTGGCGGGTACGGCGGCGGTCACGAAGGTTGAACATATCATCTGAATTTGGCATAGAATTTGTTTTCTTTGTGACCTCCTCGTATTCGACGCTAGTCATTCAGAAAACAGTTGTGGGCGAAAGGAGACAAATCATGGCTCGTCTCAACATCTATCCTACTGATGATGTTCATGGCTTTGCCGAAAAGGGAGGCAAGCTGAGCGAAACCTGTCGACTTGGAGTCGTCGGAGCGGCCGGGGCTGGGCGCTCAGCAGAGCCCATCCTGCAACCGTTGACAAGAATCAAGACCCCTTTTTCTCTGCTTGGCTTTGTGCGAGCTAGGGCTAGACGCTGGGTTCATTGGCTTGGCGGTGTTTTACGCATATCCCACCACCGCCCTCGTCGTCCTGGAACTCAACGGCACCTTTGAGCTCTAGCAGATCTACCTCTCAGCAATCCAACCCGACGAAGTCCTCGTCGAGATATCGGCCTCGGGCCTCTGCCACACCGACCTGTCCTGCGCAAACGGTACCCTCCCCTGCGCGCCCAACGCCGTCCTAGGCCACGAAGGTAACCCCTCCTCCCCTCCCCCCCCGGGAAACCAACACTCCTGGCAGGCACAGGCACCGTGCTCGTTGTAGGCGCAGCGGTGACCACAGTGGCGGCAGGCGATCTAGTCCTGCTATCCTTCTCGCACTGCGAGACGTGCCGCAAGTGCGCGGCCGGCCACCCGGCCAACTACTACACGTTCAACGAGCGCAACTTTGGCGGGGCACGCCCTAGCGACGGGTCGGCCGCCATGTGTGCCGGTGCCGCGCCCGGCGGCGCCCCCCTCCACAGCTCCTTCTTCGGCCAGTCCTCCTTCGCCCGCCACACCCTCGCCCACCGCTCCAGCGTCGTGCGCGTGCCCCCCGGCACCGACCTCGCGCTGTTCGCGCCGCTGGGGTGCGGCGTGCAGACGGGGGCTGGGGCGGTGTTGAATACGCTCGGTGTGAAGGAGGGGAGTGCTGTTGCCGTGTTTGGGGTGGGGAGTGTGGGCATGGCGGCGGTCATGGTTGCTGGGTTGGTTGGTTCGGCGCGCTGGGACGGTGATAGCTGTTGATCTGCAGCAGGCGAGGTTAGATCTTGCGATAGAGCTAGGGGCGACGCACGGTGTTATTGGGTGTGA